CTGTGCTTCCTCTGCTACACCAAATGTGGAGGAGGACTGGGTACCTCCACAGTTAGCCGAGCCCAACGTCCCCCCATTTAGTGCCAACGCAGGCATTAATGTTAATGTGGATGGCTTCTCCCCAATGCAGTATGTAGAACTATTTTTAGGAGATACCATCTGGGAGGAGATTGCTTCCCAGACTAACTTGTATGCTACCCAATTTATTGATAACAATCCAGGTAGCTATACAGTCAGGGAGCATGACTGGCATCCCACAGATGTCCCAGAGCTTAAAAAATTCTGAGCTCTTACAATGCTCATGGGGATTATAAAGAAGCCATTGATTCGCTCATACTGGAGCACCAACCCAATAATGTCTAGTCCAGTATTCTCCCAAACCATGCCTAGGGCCAGATCCGAGTTACTGCTGAGATTTTTACATTTCAGTGACAATACCCTCTGTCACCCTAGAGATCACCCCCAATACGATAGGCTTCATAAAATACGCCCACTGCTAGACCATTTTCAGGACAAATTTTCAGATGTTTATACCCCCCAACAAAATTTATCCATAGATGAATCTCTAATGAAATACAAAGGGAGATTAGGGTTCAGACAATACATCCCCTCAAAGCGCTCTAGGTATGGCATAAAACTGTACAAACTGTGCGAGAGCGAAAGTGGATATACCTTTGCCTTTCGTGTATATGAGGGGAAAGATGGACCCTCCTGGCTGTCCTGACTCCCTGGGGACAAGTGGGAAACTTGTATGGGACCTACTAAACCCCTTGTTTAATAAAGGTTACCACATTTATGTGGATAATTTTTATAGTAATGTCCATCTGTTTAAAACGCTTTATGGTTTACAGACACTGGCCTGCGGCACTGCCAGAAAAAATTCCAAAGACTTTCCACCATCTCTCATAGAGGCAAAATTTAAAAAAGATGAATGTAAAGCACTTGGCAAAGCTGAAGTGCTTGCACTAAAATTAAGGGACAGGAAGGATGTCAACATGCTTACCACCATCCATGACGAACGCATGTCAGACGTCTCTGTCCGGGGCAGAGTAGAATCCAAACCGGTTTGCATCAAGGCATATAATAAGTACATTGGGGGTGTTGATTTGGCTGATCAGCTGATGCAGCCATATCTTATTTTACGAAAAACCAAAGCATGGTATAAAAAGGTGGCTATCTATCTGATGCAAGTAGATTAAAAAAAATAATCCAGGGAAAACCAAGGGTCCAGGGATGGACAAGTTCCAACAACGGTGCAAGCTGAGTCCAGACATTTTATTTTTAAGTTAAGGCCAACTGCTAGAAACACCCCCCCACTCCCACCCCCCCAGAAACGTTGCCAGGTCTTTTTTTAAAAAAGGGGAAAAGGACAGACACCCTTTTTCACTGTCCTGATTGCCCTTTGAAACCAGGACTGTGTGTAGGAACATGTTTCAAGCTGTACCACACAGAACAGTTGTAAGAAGTGTTCCTGAAATTTTATTTTATTTTTTGCTTCTTTGGAAAGTAGCCATTTTTTGTTAGTCAGTTTCCTTCCCCCAAATCTCCAGTTAGATTCTATTTGCAGGAGTCAGTTTAAAGATTGCTGCTAAATGTACATTTGCTACCTGCACATTTAGTCTAACAAGTTTTTTGACAGTAACACATAACCAGCTGGCCAAAACAAGACGACGTGTGCATAAAAACCAGAATTAAAAAATTACCAGTATACTTTCTTTGTGGGGCAAAATGGTTGGGGGAAAGAAGTCAAAACACCCCATCTTCTATAACCTTTGATGTCTACTTTATAAAAATATATACTATATATACTGTCATGATGGTAACATTAACTAGGGGGTGCAAAAATATGTCAAACTGAAGATAGACCAAGCATACCTATATATCAAGTTGAAAAACTGACATGTACAAGTTCTGATTGTTGCCTTTTGGCCCCCAAACAACCCAGCAACTCTATACATATATATATATCACTGTACTCGGGAGATGTTGCTGAACATATTGGGCAGTGCTTAGCAGTGACACATAACAGGATCTGTTAATTCAAGTGCAAGATAAAGCATCTTGGATGTAAAAACCCAAGGGCAGAGTACAGAATATTTGATAGAGTCCTAACCTCAACATATGAGGAAAGGGATTTAGGGGTGATTATTTCTGATGACTTAAAGGTAGGCAGACAATGTAATAGAGCAGCAGGAAATGCTAGCAGAATGCTTGGTTGTATAGGGAGAGGTATTAGCAGTAGAAAGAGGGAAGTGCTCATGCCATTGTACAGAACACTGGTGAGACCTCACTTGGAGTATTGTACACAGTACTGGAGACCGTATCTTCAGAAGGATATTGATACCTTAGAGAGGGTTCAGAGAAGGGCTACTAAACTGGTTCATGGATTGCGGGATAAAACTTACCAGGAAAGGTTAAAGGATCTTAACATGTATAGCTTGGAGGAAAGACGAGACAGGGGGGATATGATAGAAACATTTAAATATATAAAGGGAATCAACACAGTAAAGGAGGAGACTATATTTAAAAGAAGAAAAACTACCACAACAAGAGGACATAGTCTTAAATTAGAGGGACAAAGGTTTAAAAATAATATCAGGAAGTATTACTTTACTGAGAGGGTAGTGGATGCATGGAATAGCCTTCCAGCTGAAGTGGTAGAGGTTAACACAGTAAAGGAGTTTAAGCATGCGTGGGATAGGCATAAAGCTATCCTAACTATAAGATAAGGCTAGGGACTAATGAAAGTATTTAGAAAATTGGGCAGACTAGATGGGCCGAATGGTTCTTGTGACAGTAGTAGAAAATATCCCCATCAAGCATTCCCTTCTTCCCATAAAAAAAAAGCACTCAATATTCCATAAGTAGAAATATCCCTGGAATCGACAAATAATCCACACATGAGCCAAAACTTAATGCTGGAACAAGACTGATTTACTGGCACATAGAACTCACAATTTATGCAACACAAAACTCCTCCTCTGGGCCAGGCTAGATAATTGAGTTTCTACAATACACAAAGCTCAATTATCTGCTGGCCAGAAACATTACAGTTTTTAACAATTTCAGAAACATACTTTTTACAAGACATACAAACATCCCTGGGTAGCTGAGGATACTGGTAGTCACATATCCAAATCTCATGAATTTCCGTTTGGTAGTTTCCGTGTCGCATCGTGGGGAAGTTTGACGGGCTTGCCATGTGGAGGTATCCGAGTTAGAATTCCATAGAATCAGTAGCAAGAGCCGGTCTCCGTTCACACCTAACTACACGAAAACCATCGTTCGTATGGTTCAGCTGGTTACCTGTGAATGTTCCCCTCATTCGGTAGATGCTATCTACCGAACGCCAGTTTGATTCGTGGAGGGGAACGTATTCATCCAGGACTTCCATGGGGACCGGGCGTTCACATGTTTCCCGTACCGAAAACAGTTCCATGCAATTCATGCGTAAGCCCCGCTGACCGCATTCGTGAGTTTTAAGATGGCCGCCATCCTTTGTTCTCGCCACATGTTCGTATGTCGAATGGCGGCCACCTAGTAGCAATTAAGTTGCGGTTTCTCTGTGTTCTAATTGCTACTTGCTACCCAGGGTGTGTGGTCCCCTTTCGGTAAACGAATACATTTATTCTCAACATTTTGAACCGAACAAATACAGACATTAAAACAGCAGGGAGAGGGTTAAGCTGAGAGCATATAGGTAAATACATAAAAGTCCTTCACAGTTCTTATCTGCCGTCACATTCTATGTTTCTATGTTAAAATACCACCATTTAAAATACCCTGGGTTGTCTACTTTTCAAAAATATATGGTTTGATGGGGGTAAAATACATTGGCTCAAATGGGACATGGGTGCAGGTTGACTACATGTCAAAATTCCAAGCTGGAAAACTGATATGCGCACCTGCCAAATGTGGCCTTTTAGACCCCCAACAACCCGACACACATATACATGGGGGTATCTATGTACTCGGGAGATGTTGCTGAACACATATTGGGGTGTTGTTTGGTAGTGATACCTAAAAGAATCTGTGAATTTATACCTGAATTGCAATGTATGTGAAAAAAAAATAAAAATAAACTACCTATTTGCATAACTTGCAAATAAAAGCAAGAAAACACATAAATATTGGGTGTTTTTACACTCAGGACAAAATGTTTAATCTATTTAGCAGTTTGTTTCATTCGATTTTGTAGATCAGTAAAAGATTTTTTAAGTAAAAGTCAAAAAAACTGTTTTTTTTATTTTTCACCATATTTTTTTTTTTTTTTAATTAAATTATATGACATGATAAAAATAATAGTATGTAAAGAAAGCCCTTTTTGTCCTGAAAAAAACAATATATAATTTGGATCGGAACAGTAAATGAGAGAACGGAAAATTACAGCTAAACACAAACACCACAAAAGTGTTAAAATAGCTCTGGTCCTTAACGTACAAACATCACAAAAACAGTCAGGTCCTGAAGGGGTTAAAGGAAGTTTGTTGTCTGCATTCCTGCTGCTAAAGACTCTTGTATAATTCCTTCATCAGGGATTTAACATCATTTAGCATTAGCATAGAAATGCATTGTTATTTCGGCTGTTATATGTGTGTCTATTTAACCACAATACAGTCTGTATTCCCATGTCTGTATTTATTTCATGTCTCTGAGGTATTATTAAGGGGAGGGTACTCATCTACTGAGTGGGGTATGTTCCCCATAAATAGAGTGGAGGCACGGCATCTAAACAAGATGTCCCTATCTCCCAACTATAGCGGAGGCTCAGGATCCCTGTCAGCGACAGAAGAAGGTGTAACTGCTGCTAACTACGGTTTGTTGCCAGGAGCAAGGCAAAAAGGATTACATTTATATTTATATTTTTATTTAATAAAATATCTAAAAAGAAAAACTTTATTGCTTCTAAGACAATCCTTATTTTATATTGTATTCTCAATTATTTATATATTTTAAATAATGGATCTCTTACTGACTATATAAAATTATGGCTAAGATAGCTGCTAAGTTCTATGCTTTAAGACGTTTTTAGTGATAAATAAGGGAACCAGCCGCAGTTACAATACATGACACTCAACAAACCCCTAGCCTGTTCATGTATTTCGCTACATTGGGAATAATTCTGTAGATTTTATTGTATCATCTAATGTAATTGCTGCTTTTCATGTATATATCTGTGTGGATAGATTTTTTTTTTTAGTTGTTTTGTTCTCTATTACTACACTTTTGTATAAAAGCAAGACTGCAACAGGCTTCTATCAATATAGGAAATACTATCACATTGAACTATTTAAAGAAGGATACAGGCATAAATTATAATGTGTTAATTTCTGGTGTTGTATAACTTGAAGGAAGCTTTGAATTTTAAGAGGTTTTAGCCCTGAAGAAGTTTTCTTGATGACACACATTGGGTTTGTACAACTAAAAGGAGGTCTTGTCACAGAACAGGGATCCTGTGTGATCCCTATATGTGATGCGCCCATTCGATGTGTGAATAAAGTGGTGTTTATCTTTATCTATTATCTGGTCTATACTAGATAAAACATTTAATAAATGCAACAATTTAAATGTGAGCATGCTTGCTGCTATGCTTATTCAGTTTTAATGCATTGTTTATTAATATTGTAAAGCTGTAGGTCAAAATTAATATTTTGAATAATATTATGTTCCATGCTGCTTTATCTAAAAAAAAAAAAAAAAACGTTTAGTCAAGGATTGCCTGAATCTAAAATAAAAAAAAAATAGACAACAACAACAACAAACATACAGGCATATTTACGCAGCCTTAGTCCCTGTAGCATACAGCCCACATCATAAACAGTATACAACTCCCCCCAATGGTATGGTACCTAATTCATTATAAGTATCTGCTTGGACCTGTGTCAGCCTAAGCAGATTTCCTTATCAAAAATATAGCTGCAACATGATAAATACAATATATATTTTTGTCAAATGTAAAACGTACAGCAAACTTGTTTCATTATTGAGGTACCTTTTGGGATATTGTGTTTACTAATAGAGTTAATTACTGGAGTGAGAATTGTCTGGAATTCAAATTGAATTTCTAATTGAAGGCCAGATTATATACACTGGAAGCATAGCTGACTGAGAATACTTCAGTTAAGCTATTTTTAAATTACATTTGAAGTTAATTTAGAATTTCCAACAATTTTCACTTTAGTAAATAGCCGTGTAAGTGACTCACTGATACGATTAGATCAGTTTTTTTTTTTTTTTATGCTTTGTGCTATCTAATAAATCTGGCTTGGACCCTCCCTATTTGCCAAATATCATATTTTGATTAGTCTCCTCATTGTGGAGAAACCAGTAACTAGGCTTAGCACCTGCAAAGCAATGTTTATATTGGTTTATGTGTTCCGTGTTATCACTTTTGCAGAAGGTCAAGACAGGAACAAAAATATAATAAATATATTAACAATAATTAATTAGTATACTTACATGGGTGGTTAGAAAATGTAAGTTGGACAGAGTTGAAGTCCCAATTGGGTCTAGCCAAGTCTTTCTGATGCAGCCCATCTGTCAATTCAGGCACCTTATTGTAAATAGCAAGTACAAAAGGTAGGATAAGTGCTAAGGAATTAATTAATATAAACAGTATATTAAGCTGCAAACACTGAAAAGAAGCAAAACAACACAAAACACAAAAAACAGGTTGTGCTGAATAGTGTGTGTATTAAGTCCAATTCTTTGGAAGATCCTGGCTTGGATTCATCCATGCTTCATTTAGTGGTACGTATATGTAATAAAACAGAAAATAACCAATAATAGTGCAAATATCAAGATACTTAGTGTAGGACACACAACAAGGATAGATGGGATCACACTCACATTTACTAGAGCTATAGACCAGCTCTGAACAAAACAGCGTACAGCGGTATAATCACAGCATCCAGATGAATATAAAATAGTAAAATATAAAAAGCAAACAATAGTTCTTACTGTTAAAAAAACAAAAACAGGGGAAAATATAAATGGTAATTTACTCACAGTTAGTAGAGCAGTAACACCGCTTAAGAGATAGTGCTTGGGTGGTATGATCCCCACTAAGGATATAATGTTGAGTAGAACCTCCTGAGGGCAATCCTTGCCATATTGTAAATGTCTCACAAGTTATGTTACATTGTTTGTGAGGCCAGGTTGCCAATTGACTCTCAGCAAAGCTTGTACTGACTTTGAAAGTTGAGCTGTATTTCAGCTTCTATTCTTATCGAAGATGAGCAAACACTGACCATGTATGTCTATTTAGTCAGTAATACATGTCACCCCAAGTACATGCTAGACTGAAGAGATCCAGCATAGCTCGACATGCATCAAGCATTATATTTTTTTTCAGATGTACTGACCTCATCTATGTCTGCTGAGATGTTGAATGAGTGTCTAAGAGAGGTATTAGTTCTTTGACAAGACTTACCTAAACAAGTATTTAACAATATAGGGGCAAATTTCCATTAGATTTTTTTAGTTACTTACTGTTTATAACATACAAACATATAATGTGATGGCAGGTAAGATCTATTTGGCCTATCTAGCCTGGCCAATATTCTAAATACTTTCATAAGTCTCTAATATCTAGGATAGCCTTATGCCTATCCCACGCATTCTTAAACTCCCTCACTGTGTTTACCTCTACCACTTCAGCTGCAAATCTATTCCATGCATCCACTACTCTCTCAGTAAAGTAATACCTCCTGATATTATTTTTAAACCTTTGACCCTCTAATTTAAGACAATGTCCTCTTGTTGTGGCAGCTTTCCTGCTTTTAAATATACTCTCCTCCTTAATCTGTGTTGATTCCCTTTATATATTTAAATGATTCTAACACATCTCCCCTGTCTCTTCTTTCCTCCAAGCTATACATGTTTGTAACGGACCGTTTTGCACCCAAGGGGTAAAAACCGTTTAGGCGATCGTCCCCCTTTCCAGAGATGCAGGCACAGCTATTGTAGAACACCAAACTCACGAACCGCCAATAAGGGAATGCTCCAAACTCCCGAACGGCATCCAATATAGCACTCCAAACACACGAACTGGAACCATACGAATCGCTGCTAGCAGACGAATAGGAAAAGCATCCAAGCGCTTACACTCCTAGCAATCAGTCTCTATCAGCATTCAGTAAATCCCCCAAAGACGAGACAAGGCTCCGTGTTGAGGGTCAAGCAGTGGTCTGTTTAATGAGGGCTACCTGCCCAGTATTTATGCAGGTCTCCCACCTGGTGGACACTCCCCTAGGGGACCAAATGGGAGACTGTGACAAAAGACAGACAATCAGCCAAACAGGACACACAGTCACATTTTATTCCCACAATGCATCCTGGCTTCCTCACCTCTGCCTTGGAGATAATTGAGAAGTAATTCAATCATCTCCCAAGACAAAGGTAAATCGCCATTATGCACGTGGGGATACTACAACATGAATTACAGTTAAAATACACCATGTAGGATATGTTACATTAAAACTATACATTTAACATATCACCAGATAGCTCAGGTCTGAGTGCACATTATTAAGCAATATGAAAGAAAGGAAGGAAACTGCGCTCTAAATTAGTTTTACATACATACACTTGGTGTCCCTTAGTTGGTGTAAGTAATATATCCTCAAAAAAACACAGAAAGGGAAATATAATAGTGCAATATGCTATAACAAGTTTAAAAAGGAAATGGTGTGTAAAACAGAGGTATTTTAAACTCACATTTGGTAGAGCTAATCAGGAGCTCTACCTTAACTCGCACGGACGGTACAATCCCCGTCTCAGGATAGAAGGTTCAACTTTTCAATACTCCATTGGTGTAGTGGCATAGATAAAATGGAAACAGAAAAGAGAAACTCCAAAAGTGTAGCAACTCTGATTCTAAATGTAGAGAAAGTAAATGAAAGTTGTTGTACTCACATTTGTTAGAGCAGACAACTTGCTCTAGTGTATAAGGCTTGCAGTGGTATAATCCCCACTGAAGGATATATGGTACCAGGAAGTGATGAGGAAGATGAATAAAGTAAAGTAGTATATCACTTTAAAGTTATTTAATAATAACAAGTAATAACAGTATTAAAAAACAAAAGGGCTATAAGAATTTTTTTTTATTTTTTTGAGGATATATTACTTACACCAACTAAGGGACACCAAGTGTATGTATGTAAAACTAATTTAGAGCGCAGTTTCCTTCCTTTCTTTTATATTGTTTCCTTACAAGGCTGGGAATCCTTGCATTAGTTACTGCTGCTTATCTATTTTCTCTGTTTTGAAGTGAGCACCCAACACACCTCTCTTTTCTTTCCTGCACATTATTAAGCGAATGGTGCTCAGACCACACGAATACACTGTAATCGCCATGGAGCCAAAGTCTTTACGCAGTCAGTTCTCATGCGAATGGGCTCCATGGGATTCCTATCTGGGGTATAACATATTCAAGTAAAACTACCGAACACCGGGCAGTTCGTGCACTTTCACCGAACAAGAAGGGAGGTCGGAGGCTTTAGCGGTGTTCACGCAAAACTGTGTCCGATTTTAGTTCCATGAATTAAGTGTCGAACACTGCTGTGCGTTCGCGTGTTTAAAATGGCCGCGACCTCGTGTTCATTATACGAATGGCGGGCACCCATCATTCGCCAATTAAGCTGCGGTTAACTCTTTTCTGCAGGGAAAAAGATGTCTTTTAACATGGGGCCATAGTCCAAAGGCAGCAGGCGAGCAACCAGGCTTCTCCAATGCAATGTGGCGAGATTGCTCTCGTCACAATGTTAAGTTCCTTTAACCCCTCTTGGTAAGTTTTACGCAGCAATCCATGAACCAGTTGTGTAGCCCTTGTCTGAACTCTTTCTCCAAAGTATCTTGCAGAGAAATGGTCTCCAGTACTGTGTACAATACTCCAAGTGAGGTCTCACCAGTGGTTTGTACAATGGCATTAGCACTTCCCTCTTTCTACTGCTAATACCTCTCCCTATACAACCAATCATTCTGCTAGCATTTCCTGCTGCTCTATTACATTGTCTGCCTACCTTTAAGTCATCAGAAATAATCACCCCTAAATCCCCTTCCTCAGATGTTGAGCTTATTCTATATTCTGCCCTTGGGTTTTTACTCCGGCTCTGACCATTTTTCTAGTTTACCTAATTCATTTGCCATCAACCCTGTTGCACATTTTTGCATCATTAGCAAAAATGCATACCTTAGCATCATGACCTTCTGAAATATCACTAATAAAAATACTGAAGAGAATGGGTCCAAGTACAGATCCCTGAGGTACCCCACTGATAACAAGGCTG